TAATTGAAACACTGTATCAACTCCAGCTCTGAGATCCCGGCTCGCTGAAAGCAGGTTTCTGGGGTTTTGTTTAGCTTCTATATTTGTAACTATGTTTCAAACTGCAAGCTCAGAGGCCGGCAAGGCAGGCGGGGAATGTTGGTTTCCTCCGTCACTGAAGCAAGCAGCCTCATGTTCGCTTCAAGCTGCCTGGCTGCCAGTTGCCATCTTGGCTGGCAGTTAATTTGCATATCACCCTGATTAGCCAATGGGAAGGGTAGCGGACGTACGCTAATTACCATGTTTCTCTTTTATTAGATAGGATTGAGAGGAAGGTACAAAGATTTCTCCTGTATCACCTACTCCTTACATACATATAGCCTCCCCCATTATCCATATCACTCACCAGATGGTACAACTAGCTTCATTTTCATGAGGTATGGCTGCGATAACAAAGACCCAACCATGGGGGCTTAAACAAATTTGAGATTTATTTCTGTCTTGCATAGAAGTCCAGAGATGGGCAGTCTAGGGCTGGTGAGATGGCTCCGTGGTCACCAAAGCTCAAGTCTCCTCTTATCTCTCTTCTATCCTTAGTGCAGAGTTCCCATCCTCAAGATCACCTGACAGTCCAGGAAGGCTGCCATAGCTCCAGCCCTCACTTCTCTGCATTTAAGGTCATAGGAAAGGAGAAGCAAGGGAAGGCCAAGGGGCTTTCTCAGTTCTCTGTCCAACTTTTAAGGAGTCTTTGCACAAGTACCACCCACGAAATTCTGCTTACAACTCACTGGTCCAGAAATTAGTAGCACGTTCATAGCTGCAGAGGAAGCTGGGGGATGCAGTCTTCGGCTGGGTACACTATTTGAATAATAACAGGGCATTGTTGTTATGCAAGAAAGGAAGAATGGATATTGGATAAGCAAGTGAAAATCTCCCCCACATCTAAATATATGCTTCCGTCTCTTTGCTTTAACATTTCTGACCTTATGTTTTAGGTGTATATCCTACAATCAGTATGTGGGTAGATTTTGTTTTAGTCTATCTGACTGGTAGAATCTGTTTATATTTACTGTGTTTGCTAATATGCTTGGATTTATTTGTAAAACATACTTTGTGCTTCTACTTTCCTTGCTCTTACATATTTTATTTTTTCTCCTTTTTCTGTCTTTTATTAGATTGACTACAGTTTCTTTTCCCATTTTTCTTTCTACTGGTTTGGAAACTACAGAACCCATTCTGATTTTTATTGGTTGTCCTTAATTTTTTAGCAATCATGCATGATCAAAGTATAAAATTTATGTTTTTATTCCTCTCAAACTATCCAGGAAGCTTTTCTCATTACTTTCTTCTTCATTTACATGCTGTTGTCATGTAGTGTTTTAGCTTCAACTTGTTTTAAACCCACTCAACACTGATCATTACCAGTACTAACTTATTTTACGGTAATGCTCACTTACATTTTTTTCTTTGTTTACCAATTAGCTCGCTCACCACTGCTTGTTGTAGCCACTTCTTCCTTCTCAATTTAACTGCCATATTCTTTTTTTTTTTAAAGTTTTTATTTATTTATTTAAATTGATTCCAGAGAGGAAGGGAGAGGGAGAGAGACAGAGAGAGAAACATCAGTGATGAGAGAGAATCATGGATCGGTTGCCTCCTGCACGCCTCCCACTGGGGATCGAGCCCACAACCCGGGCATGTGCCCTTGACCGGTAATTGAACACAGGACCCTTCGGTCCACAGGCCGATGCTCTATCCACTGAGCCACACCGGCTAGGGCTAATTTCCATAGTTTAGAAACAACCTTTAGTAGTCCTGGGAGTAGTCAACTTACTTGGGCTTTGCCTGGAAATATCTTTATTTTCCTCTCATCTCTTCATGACAGATATTCTCTGTATAATTCTAGATAGAGAGGTAGTTTCCCTCAAAACTTTAGAGATGTTATTCTGTTCTCTTGGCTTTTGATGTTGAAGTCCTCGGCTTTTAGGTCTCCGGATAAGAGGATCTGTATCTTTGATCATTTCTGGAAAACTCCTGATGGTTTTCACTTTATTTAAATTTTTAAAAAATATTTTTATTGATTTCAGAGAGGAAGGGAGAGGGAGAGAGAGACAAAAACATCAATGATGAGAGAATAATTGATCGGCTGCCTCCTGCATGCCCCACACTGGGGATCGAGCCCCCAACTCAGGCATGTGTCCTAGAACCAGAATCGGAACCCTTCAGTCCGCAGGCCGACGCTCTATCCACTGAGCCACACCGCTAGGCTTGGTGGTTTCCACTTTAAATATTGACTCCGTTCTCTCCAGCCCTTTAGTCTGATCAGATGTATGTTGGGTCTTCTCATCCTGCCCTCTGCGTCCGGCTTCTCTTTCAGACTTTGTTAGTCTGTCTCTCTGTGATGCATTCTGGGTAATTTCTTCACAGCTGTTTCCCAGTTTACCTTCTTGCTTCAGCTGGCTTATTTTGCTTTTTAAACATTTGTTCAGTTTGTTTCAACACATATTTTTTCGTGTATAGAAACTACATTTGGTTCTTTTTTATTTTTCACAACATATTGTCCTTAGGTTTCTGATTCCTGTTTTTATATTTATTTGGTTTTCATCAGCCTTACTTCCTGGAAGTCCGGATTGTTATTCTCCAACCTTAGGCCCCTGTGCACACTCATTTTGTTTCCTTCTGCTAATGCAGGATTGCTTCTTGTATGGCTTGCAATTTTACTTTTTTAAAGAAGGTGGTTTTGTTTTACTAATTTTTTTTTTTTTTTTAGAGAGGAATGGAGATGGAGAGAAAGAGAAGCATTGCTAGTCCGCCTCCTGCACACCCCCTACTGGGGATCCACCCGCAACCCGGGCCTGTGCCCTGACCCGAAATCCAACCACAGACGTTTTGGTGCTCGGGAGGGCGATCGATGCTCAACCACCTGAGCCAGACTGGCCAGGGCTGTTTGGTAATTTTAACGGCAAATTGTCTTCAGGGTTTTGTTTTCTCTAAAAAATTTTTGTGTAAAAAGAATGGAAAGTGGTTTTGTGTTTGCATCTGCCCTTTGCCCCGGGAACATCACTAGCCCTGGATTTGAGGTGGGTTTCTCAGCGTGGCTGTCCGCACCAGGCAAATCCAGACTGCAGACAAGCGACAGGTGCCTCCTGGGGTGCTGGCTCTATCCCAGCCAGCATTTCCTTGTTGCCTTTCTGTGGTGGTGTGTAGTTTCTTTCTTTCTTTTTTTTAACAACTGAAGTTTAATAACATGCATATCTCCTGCATACCTGGGAGAGACCCAGAAAAATTGAGTAACTCTCCAAAATGGCCCAAGCCACACCGTTTTTCAAATTTAAGTTTTATTTTTTAATTATAGTTGACATTTAATATTTTCTTTTCATTTCAATTTATATAGTGTAGTGGTTAGACAATCATGTACTTTACAAAGTGGTCCCCGTGACATTCCATACATAGTTATTACATCACTGGAGGCCTGGTGCACAAAATTCGTGTACTTGGGGGGCCCTCAGCCTGGCCTGCGCCCTCTCGCAGGCTGGGAGCCCTCAGGGGATGTCTGACTGCTGGCAGTTGGACATCCTTAGCGCTACTGCGAAGGCAGGAGAGGCTCCGGCCACCGCTCTGCGCTCACCAGCCGTGAGCCTGGCTTCTGGCTGAGCCGCGTGTCCCCTGTGGGAGCGCACTGACCACCAGGGGGCAGCTCCTGCGTTGAGCGTCTGCGTCCTGGTGGTCGGTGCGTGTGATAGCAACCGGTCATTCTGCCATTTGGTCAATTTGCATATTAGCCTTTTATTATTTAGGATTACTGACTGTATTCCCTGTGCTGTACTTTACATCCCCACACTATTTTGTGACAACCAATTTGTGCTCCTTAATCCCCTCACCTTTTTCTGGTGGTGTGTAGCTCCTACCTGTTGGTTTGGGGTTCTTTAGTCCCCTCCCCTCGAGCCTCAGGCTGGGGCTTTTTACTGAGGTGCAGCCTTCGAGGGTGCCGGCCTCCGTACAAGGCCGCGTCCGCGCACGCGTGTTATCTCGAGTGCATTTCCTTCAGCGGCTGCAGAGCGGCTCTCGCACAGGCTGCCTCACGGCTGATGCCGGGGGACTATCCTTTCTTCTTACTATTCAGCCATTGGGTTACATTTCATCCAGCCTTTCCAGGTGTTTGAGCTGCGGAGTTTGTTTTTGCTTATTTGCTCCCTGTCTGAACCAGAAACTCTAAGTGAATCCCTCTCAGCCTCATTTTCCTCTGTAAAGTCATGGCACCTTCTCCATGGGTGTGGAGTAAATGAGATAAAGCAGGTAAAATGCTTCGTGTGGAATGTCTGGGAAAATATTTTTTTAAAAAAATTCTGTACTACCCACTGAAAATTATGGTTAGCACTTCATCTTTCCCAACCTTTATTCATATGCATATTCCCATGTAACTTATAAGACAGAAGTCCCTCTGCACATGCAGATTTGCATCTGCTTTGCTCATCTGATTCGTGCGTAGTCTGTGTGGAACCAGGGTGCCAGCATGGTCAGGTCCTAGGAAGGGCCCTCTTCCCAGCTTCTACAGGGTGCCTCCTCTGTCCCACATGGGGGTAGGGGGGTGTGAGGCAGGAGGGGGCTCTCTAGTCTTATCTTAAAGGAACACTAGTCCCATGATGACCCTCATGACCTCATCTCACCCTAATCACCTCCCAAAGGCCTCATCTCCAGATGCCATCACATTGGGGTTAGGGCTTCAACGTAAGACTTTGGGAGACACAGTTCAGTCTGTAGCAGTGAGAGTTCTCTACTAACAGCTGCCCCTGAGGTTGGAAGCTCCCCTGAGATCTTAGCAAGAATGAGTTGGTCAGATTCGCATCTTCTCCGCCAGAGTCCGCCTCGGCAGAAAGGGGGAGGGGCCGAGCGCAGTGACTCCGCGGCTGGGGCTTGGGGGGTAAACTCTGAGTGTTTCTGCAGGAGACCGGCCCCCAGCCTGGGGGTGCCCGAGCGACCCTGTCTTCTCTGCTCTTGCCCCCACATCCCTCCGCCTGCAGGTCACGATGAGCCTGGAGCTCTCTCCTCCAGTCACTTTTCAGCTGCGGGCTGGCTGGGGACCCGTGTTCCTCAGTGGCCAGGAACGTTATGGTAAGTCTGAGCTTGGACCTGGGGAAGGTCTGAGGGTGCACAGGGCCCGGGACATAATAAACACCCCAACAGAGGAGGGCTCCTGAGTGATTAGAGAAAATCCCAAAGGCAGCACGGTTGCCAGTAGCCTGGGCTGGAAGGCCACAGGCACAGTTCTACCCCCAGTTCTCCTTCACCTCTCTGCACCTCACCTCCCTGCACCTCACCTCCCTGCACCTCACCTCCCCGCACCTCACCTCCCTGCACCTCACCTCCCTGCACCTCACCTCCCTGCACCTCACCTCCCTGCACCGGGCCTGTGCCGCAGCCCCTCACCTGGAACACGAGGGTAGGGGTGCACTTGGTTTCATCTTCAAAGACTAGCTGTGAGGAATAAATGGGATGTTCAGGAAAAGCAGTTAGCACGGTACCCAGTACAAGCACGCACTTAACGTGTTAGCTTAGCCTGGCCAGTGTGGCTCAGTGTTTGAGTGTCAGCCTATTGCCAGGAGGTCACTATTAGATTCCCACGATTCCAGGTTGGTGTCGATCCCCAGTGCGGGGTGTGTAGGAGGCAGCCCATCAATGATTCTCTCTTATTGTTGATGTTTCAATCTCTCTCTTCCTCTCCCTTCTTCTCTGAAATCAATAAAAATATATATTTTTTTTAAACGTTAAAGCGAAGTACGTAGCTGTAGCAGTCACATGGCCCAGCAAGTCGCTGTAGTGTTGACTCTTCTGATATCCTCTCACTGGCCCTCTTCTCTGTCCGGCTGGGCCTCTGTCCTCAGGGTGCTCTCCTGCCCCCAAACCCCGGCAGCGTCCACTTGGCCTGAAGTCCTTAGCTGCTACTCCGGTTCCTCCCCACCTTCCCCTTCCTCCCCTCACACACTCCTTCCCTGGTGAGTCCTCCCCCCTCCCTCCCCCCCCTCCCCGCCCCAGGCAGAGCCCAGCTTGCCCTTCCCTGCCTCCTTCTACCACCCTCAGCCAGGCCCTCTGAGCTGTCAAGGCCGCTTCCCCCCACCTCCTGGCCTCCACTCTATCAGGGAGGCCAGGAGGGCTTCCCAGGGAGGCAGGCAGACACTTGCACTCCTGCGGGGACTCTCCCAGGCACCTCTCCTCTCCCCTGTGCAGAAATTCCAGACCTCTCCTGGGAGGAAGAGGAGGAGGAGGAGCAGCAGTCAGAGGAAGAAGATGATGATGATGATGACGATGATGATGAAGAGGTGTCCCTAGAGGAGACCCCCGTCAAAAAAGGCAAGAGGCTGGCGTCCCAGAAGCAGACGAGCGTGGCCAAGGTGAGGGGAGGGACCCTGGCCAGGCCCCTGGGCTGAGTGTGCAGGAGGTGGGGGCCCAGCGGGGTCTGCTCAGGCCCTCACGCTAACCACCCAATGATGCTTGTGTTTGGTTCCCAGAAAAAAAAAGTGGAAAAAGAAGAGGAGGCGGCAAGGTAATTCTTTCCATCTCTTAACTTGGCCGAACTCTTTGGGCGAAGTATACAGTGCTAGAAAGGGCATTGGTGCCTGGTGTGCACACGCGCGTGCGTGTGTATAAGTACGAGGGCAGCCGAAACCGGTTTGGCTCAGTGGATAGAGCGTTGGCCTGCGGACTGAGAGGTCCCAGGTTCGATTCCGGTCAAGGGCATGTACCTGGGTTGCGGGCATATCCCCAGTAGGAGATGTGCAGGAGGCAGCTGATCCATGATTCTCTCTCATCGATGTTTCTAACTCTCTATCTCTCTCTCCCTTCCTCTCTGTAAAAAATCAATAAAATATATTTAAAAAAAAAAAAGTACGAGGGCACACGGCGTCTTGCCGCAGTAGGTTGGCACAACCTTTTTGAGAAGCATGAAACCGTGCTTATCATCTGACCTAATTCCCCTTGTGGCAGTCCCTTTCCGAGGACTCCGTCCAGAATAAGGGGAGCACTATGTGCGCTGAGAAACCCCTCGCTGGTGATTGAACCACGAGTGGGAGCGGGGCGTTCTGAATGCTGCCGCAGCACAGGTTCCCCTGCGGAGCCTTTCCCAGCGGCTGCTGCACGTGCCTGTGAGGAAGATAGCGGCCTGGGACGTGTTGATAGAACTAACAAGGGCAGGACATTAAGTCGCTTTCATTTTATTTCACATACTAGTATGTTTAGGAGGAAGAAAAAAACCCCCCGAGAGGAAATACACCAAAATGTTAATGTTGGTGGGAGGTAAACAACATAAATAGTTTGTTCTGTTCTTTATTTGCTATTTTGTGCAATATGGTTGCCATTACTTTTATAATGAAAGGGACATGTTTGTGGTAAGTAAAAGAAAGAGAGCAGATGGAAGCCTAAGAAAAAGCATCTTTGTTAAAAAAAAAGGGGGGGGGATCAGAGCGGCCCCTGGCGGGTGACAGGTGGAGAGGAGAACTCCGGGGCACAGCCCTGCTTCCTGCTCTGCAGTGTGGGCACTGGGAGGGCCGGGCTGCGGCACCCGGCTGAGCTCTCTCCCTCTCACCCGCCTCCTGCTCCTCACCCACCACCCCTATTTCAGACCCAGTCTCAAAGGCAAGAGCCCTGTGAACAAGGTGAGTGCATGAGGGGCTGGTCCTCCCGGGGATGTGGTGGCCTCTGGGAAGGTGCCAGGACCTGGAGCCCTGCCTTCCCTCCGTAGGCCAGATACACCCCCAAAGTAAGGAAGCCGGTACCCAAGAAATGAGAAGCCAGGAGTGCATGGCCTCCGTGATGGGGGAGGGCCTGCCTGGCCACCATGCACCGCGGGGCTTCCTGGGATGCACCGTGGGCCCAGGGAATATCCCCCCCGGCCCTCAACCTGAGTCTGAAGGTGATGGAGCTGTTGGGGGGCAACACAAGAGCCCCTCACCCCAACTCACTGGATTCAGCAGGACCTGGAGGGAAGAACCCCAACCTCAGGGACACAATAAAGTTTGCTTTGCCAAGACCTGTGTCTGCATCTCTTCCAAGGAGCCCTACTTGTTGCCGGCTGCAGTGAGCCCTTGTGCCCAGCAGAGGGCGGTGTGTGCCACCACATGCGCCCTGGGCACCAGGCCCTGCCAGCTCTCCTCCGTCATCTCCCTCTAGTCCTGGCACCTCTCACCGCCCGTCTTTGGGGGAAGAACCAAGTGTCTCAGCCCCTTACCCAGCTCTGACCTCTGCCCCTGGCCTGAGGGAGGGAGCCAGCACTGCTGTGGGTCCTCCTGGGCCCACACTCCCTTCGGGCAGGCCCTGTTTTCTAGGGACAGAACTGCCCGCGGCTCCTGGCATGAGGCGGCTCAGGAAGGGCCAGTCTGTGGGACCGGCCGGAGGGGGTGCATCTGTGGGAGCCTCGGGGCACAAGCTAGTGCTGTTCTCCCAGGCGTGTGTCCTGCTCAGGGGGAGCTCCTGCTCACTTGTGGGAAGGTCTGTGCTGGGCAGGAGCCCAGAGGCCTGCACCTTCACGGAAACCCTCCCAGGTAGAGCCACTGGGCTCCAGGGCGCTTAGTGTCTCCTACGGGAGGTGGACGGGTGAGCACTTTCAGCTCCGATGCTAGGCTCCCCGGGCAGCTCTCGGAGCTGAGACCGACGGAGGATGGGAAAGGGGTGATGGCCCTGCATGCTCTGGCCTCCTGCCCTCTTCCAGGCCTGCAGAGCCACCTGGAGCCAGTTCATCCATGGTGACAGGCAGATGGCCCCCGACTCGGGTTATACTTGTAGGGCCGCTGCTGGGCTGCCCCTGCCCCTCCCAGCACCTCCGCTGGCCAGGCCTGCAGTGAGCTGATGGGGAGCTGGCCCTGCCGTCTCCCAGGACCCGCAGATCTGGGTCCCAGAGGAGGGCTATGGACACCCGCACAGAAGGTCAGCGACCCGGCCTGGGCCTCCCACTCGGCTCTGCCATTCTCTTGAGGTGGCAGAGGGCGGGCTGGCCTTCCTGCTGCTTGTATTCTACACCCCACGGGATGAAGGGAGCACGGGCCCACACATGAGAACGGGGCCGCTGACCTCACATTAATCAATGAAAAGGCACAACAGTTCAGGTCCGGCTCCAGGCGGGCAGCTGGCGTTGACCATGGCTCCCTGCCCCAGTGATGCAGGACGGACAAGACAATGTCCTCACCTTCAAGTACCCTACCGCCCAGTGGAAAGGAAAGCCAACAACAGAGCATAACCAATGGACACAGACAGCAGGGCCGTAAGGGCATGTGCTGGGGTGGGAACGGCCGGGGAGAGGTCACTGGGGGGAAAGGAGACTTATGTAATACTTTAAAGAATTTAAATTTTAAAAAAGCCAACAACATAATTTCAATTACTTTCAAGTGCGTTGGCGGAAGTAAAACGGGCTGCTTTCCAGGGTGGAGGAGCACTTAGTGAGGAGCTGGCAGACAGTCCTAGGAGCAGGAACAGAGAGTGCAAAGGGCCTGCGGCAGAACGAGCTTGGAGGTGCGGGCAGAAAGAAGACTGATCCGATTGCAGTGATGACCCTGAGAGCTGGGCACCGCTCTGTCCTACAGGACTCGCTCCTGTGACCCTCGCAGCCGTGCCTGGAGGTGGGTGTAATTAGCCCTGTTTCTCAGGTGTAGAGAGTCACAGCTGGTGGAGGAGCCAGAATCCACTCCCAGGTGGTCTGGCCCCAGAGCCCTTGTTTTTAGCCACCCTGTGGGTGCGAGGCAGGGGCAGGCAGCTCGAAAGTTTCATAAACTGGGCGCTGGAGCCAGAACTGAGCCCAGAATGCCTGCGACACTGCAGCCCTAGGAGGCGCAGCACACAGTCTCGCAGGACTTCTCCCCAGTCCTCGGCTCAGCCATGGGTCTGTGCACAAAGGCACTCAACAGCTACCCTGTTGCCAGCTTGGCTTCCCTGTGGGGCAGGCAGTGGGGGTCACAGAGCAAAGATGGGGTCTACCTGCACTGCTGAGGGCCCTTCCCCTGGCCCCACCCTCAGCCCCAGCACCTCTGGGTCTCAAAAGGTAAAGTGTGGGTGGGGGCAAAGCAGCAGGGCAAGGGGCAGGTCGGCAGGGGGGCTGTGTCTGCACCAGCTGGGCTGTTAGGACAAACAGGTGTGAGACATCCCAGCTGGGGGGATTGAACTTGTCACTCGGGAGTGAGGATTAACCACTGTGCAGCCCAGGCTACTTCTCACTTCCCCTATCACCTCCTGCTGCCCCCCCCAATAAATGTTAATGAACCCTGCCCTTCTCCCCTCCTCCCAGCTCCCTCTGGTCAAGGGAGAAAGTCAGGCAACATTTAGGTAAACTGAGTCTGGACCACATAAGAGGGTCTCCTTCCCCTCCCCCATTCTTGTGAGGATATTTGATGCTTCCCAGGGGGTGTCCTTCATCCCAGCTGACAATTTGACAGCACCCATAGCAGTTGTTTCCTTTTTATAAACTGGGAAGCTGAGGCCAGAGGAGTGAAGGACGGGCCACAGGTCACACAGCCACAGCCTAGAGCGGCCAGGCCTGGACCACTCTCCATGCTGCCTCCCCGCTGGGGCCGCCACTGGCCTCTCCGTGGCGGTAAAGGAGCAAGCTGCATAAAAGCCAAGCCTGCAGGTGTGGAATGGGAAGGGACAAGGAGCAGAAGATGTCACACCGAGAAGCAAGCCATGCCCCAGAGCCCCCTGGCACCAGTGCCCTGGCTGAACCCCAAGGCCAAGCTGGACTGCTGGCCCCTGTTACCATGGGGACCCAGGCTGGGCTAGGGGCTGGCCAGTGACAGCAGGCTCTTCCCCCACTGATAGGAATCGGGGCTCAGGCTCAGAGGCCTTGTGCCCAGATAGCGTTGGGTGGAATGCCCCACACCCACCTTCCTTATGTACTTCTGTGCCCCTGCTGACCCCCCACACCAAACCCCTGTGTCTCTCCTCAGGAGGAAGGTAGGAGGAGGGAGCATTTCATACCCTACCTGGGAGCTGGGGCTGGTGGGGAGTGGGCATCAGGGCACTGGCACCCCGAGGGCAGAGCCAGCACCAAGTCCAAGTGGAGCGGTTGATGGGGGAAGTGTTTATGGAAGAGACAGAGTTTAAATGGGGCCCCAAATGGTGGGAGGAATGTGGAAAATGGAAATGCTCAGGGGGCTGGGCCTGGGCGAACGCAGAGTGGGGGCAGGCCGGGTGTGTTCTGAGTCTGGACACCCATACTCACCTCCATCTCTGCTGCCCTCCCCCCCCCCCCCCCCCCGCCGGCGCACCACTGACTGACTGTGAGACCGCATCAGTGAATGGGGAAGCTCTAAGAGCCTTTCTAGTTTTGACATCTTCCCATTTGATTCCAAGCCTGGACTCCCCAGCTGTGCAGGGGTGGGGCTCCCACCACCCTCCCCAGGCCAGCTCAGGCCTGTGGGCTCCCTGGGCCAGGCAGGCGGGAGCCAGGTGCTGAGGGGGACAGGGCGGAGGGTCCCCTTGTCTGTGGGGGCAGGGATGGCAGACGACTTTGTGGATTGATGTGGCTCAGGAAGGTGAGAAGGCCTGGAGGGGAGAGCTCTGCCCTCCCACTCATCTCCCAGGTAAATAAACCCTCACCCAGCCTTTCCCCCTCTTCCCATCCCGGGCACGGCCCCTGGGAGCCAAGCTGAGTGTGAGTGAAGGAGGGGCTGAGTGTGAGTGAAGGAGGGGTTCCCCCAGAGGTCCCCCAGGACCAGCCCCCTCCGAAGCCGCCATCACCACCTTCCGTGGGGAAGGAGCAGGGGAGACCTGGCTGTTGGGACGCGCTGGGCTGGGCGGGCCCTGAGCAGAGACGCAGATACAGCCCGTGCGGACTGTGGGAACCTGGTTCCGCCATCCACTGGCTGGGTCTGGGTCGCCCTGAGCTGGTGACCAACAGCGTGCCTGTTTCCTCATCTGCAGGATGGGGCAATAGGGGCTCACTGATGGGGCCCTGGTCAGAGACATGGCTGCCGGGCACTCTTCCAGGGCCCAGAGGCTCCAGGACTGGCTGCTGCCCTGAAGGATAGGAGTGATGGGCCCCCCAACGCCCACTAGTGATCTGCTTGGGTCCTCCAACACCCGGGCACCACTGTCCCCGTCTCTCAGAGGAACTGCCACAGCCCGCAGCCAGCTCTTCTGTCCCCGCCCCAGGCCAGCCCTCGGCACTCCGTGGGGTCTTCCAGCCCCCGCTTCCCCTCCCTCCCACCCCTGGCCCCAAGCTGTTGCACCCACTGTTGGCTGTCAGTCAGGACAGTCACCCCCTCATTCCCAGTGGCCAGAGAGCAGGTAGGGGAGCCAGGCAGTGGCGGCGCAGTCCTGGCCAAGCCCACCCCTCCCCTGCAGGGAGGCTCCTCCTCTGAGGCTGCTTCTGGGAATTCCCATCCCACCACCTCAGGCAGATACCTGCTGCTCACCCGTGGGGAGTGGGCACCAAACCCGGGCGGGAGAAGCTGGCCCCCAGAGGGGAGGAGGGGCACTCCCGCTGGGGTCGGAGCCCACAGGCCAGCCTCCTATTGAGAAGGCTCCGGCAGCCCAGCCCCTGCGCTGGGAGCCCCCGAGAGGTTGGCAGCCCCGCCGGTGGCCGCTTTGCAGTCTCACTGGCCAGGAAGGTGGACACATCACACCTCAGTCTCCCAATTACGCCCTCCTCCCCCTCCTCCACCTCCTCCTCCCTCTCTCTCTCCTCCTCTTCCCCTGTCTCTCCTCCTCTCCCCCCTGAAAACCTGTGCCTTGAAGAGACCTTGGCTTCTCTGGGACTCTACCCTGGGGACTGCCCACATCTTCTCCCGACTCTGGGGGCAGGGGGGTCACTGCCCCAAGGAACCTCCTGCGATGGAAGCCGCCCGCCTGCTGCCCAACTTCACTCTGTAAGTGCCGGCCTTTCTGACCGACAAACGACAGACAAACGGGAATTCTGTTGCCACCTCCAGCCTGCAGCAGCCCTAATCTCACCGGGACTCCCACACGGACTGGCGGGTGGGGCGGGGGCGGCGCCTGGTGCGCCCTGGGCTGGCTGCTGGCACCCACACCTGGGTCTGCCTCCTGTCCCCACACAGGTGCCTGCAGCTACTGATTCTCTGCTGTCAAACTCAGGTAGGCAACCTGCCCCGGGAGCGTCCAGCTTCTCCCCATGTCTCCCACCCACCGAAGGGGGAGGGGCAGCCTCCTTTCTTTGGACAGAGGCCGGTTCTGGCCTCTCTCTGGGGTGGGGGGCCAGCTCTGAAGGGGAGCAGGAAAAGGGGCTACGGCAGATTTGGGGATCGGCTGAGGTTTTTATCTGTGTTCTTTCCCATGAAGCTCCCTGCTCCCCCTGGGGTCTCTGCCTTGCTCTGCATCCCTCCACACTGGGTCACCCCAAGGCGAGGTGCAGAGGCCACACAGACTTGAGGGATGGAGCCGGGAGTGGCTGGAAGAGGGTGGAGGTGCTGGCTCAAGTGAGGCTTGTACGTGAGAGGACAGGTTTCCATGCAAAACCACCTGTGTATTCCATTCCTGACCGCACTCCCACTAACACAGGTGTCCTGGGGGTACTGTCCTGGGGGGTTATGGGAGCAGAGTGCCCAGCCAGGGCAGGTGACTCCAGACACAATGAGGTCAAACCCAAAAGGGGTTGTCTGAGACGAGATTCAGGGTCCGTTTCTCCAGGCTCCCCCACCCAAGCCTGCCCCCCATGCCCACCTCCCCCTGCCCAGCTGCAGCTCGAGGCTGGTCCCTTTTTGTGATCCTCCATAAAAGTGCAGCTATTAAAATGCACTGGTCCAGAACGCGCTGGGGACACGGCTTGGCTTTCCCAGGCCAGGGGCCGCTTCTCTTCGTATCCAGTGGGGACTTTTTTTGAAGGTAAGGCCTTTTCTCTGCGAGGGAAAGAGGCTGCCTTTGAAGCAGTGGGGGGGTGGGAGAGAGAGACACCCCCCTTTTCCTTCCCACTTTTGCTCAAGCCCCCGTTCCAGGCCTTTTGCTTCACACATCCAGGGAGAGCCAGAAGAAAGCCCCCAGCCGGGCCAGGCGGGGGCGGGGGTGGGCCCAACCTGTTCTGGAAGGGGAATTAGCACAATGGTGCGCCTGGCCTGGCGTTTATGGCCTGGCTGAGGCCCCATTCAGGATTCGGGGAAGGTGGCAAAGCTGTCCTTTCCCCCTTGAAGTGCCCCCGCACCCCCCTGGAGGGGGCCCCCGCAGGCCGGACCACAGCCATGCTTGAGGGGCCGGCTGACAAGCAGCTGTCTGCGGCACTGGAAGGGGAGTTTCCCCACAGCGGGAACATGAAAGGGACAGGCAAGGTCCCGCGGGGAGAGCGACTTGTGGGCTGTGGGCTGTGGGGGGGGCGTGGGGCTGCCTTTGTGCAGGGCTTGAAGGGGGATGAGGAGAGGAGGGGGCTCTGGGGGGGGCCTCTCTGCTCCTGACCTGGAACAGACGGCCAGGAGGAGGCTGCCCGCCAAGAGGGGCGGAGGGCCTGAACCTGGGCCAGGCGGCTGGGGCTGGGGGCAGGCGGACCCCATCGAGGGTCCTGGGCCAGCCAGACCCCTCCTCCTGGCAGGGAGGCAGGTCTCCCGCCCCAGGCTCAGGCCTCGGGTTTGGAGGGAGGCGCGCGGGGCGGGCTGGGGTCTCCTAGGCTGGGTCCTGGCCTGCAGACAGCTCCGGTTGGAAATGAGCAGTGCCGCACGAAGGGTTAACGCCGGGCAGGTCACACTGTCAGCCTCAGGCCGCTCCCTAGCCTCCCCTTCCTCAAAGCCAACACTCCCACCTTTCCCTCCAGGAGAGCGGGGCCCTAACAGATGCCGGTCCAGGTCTAGCTCTGCCCAGAGGGTTGGCCTTAGGGACTGGGACCGGGAAAGGCTGTCCCAGCAAGGCCACGGGTCCAGGTGGAGAGAAGCATTTCGGTGCTGGCGCTGAGGCGGTGGCAGCAGCTGGGAGGCAGTCAGGCTGCACCTGGCTGCAGAGGCGGGAAGGGGTCCCTCGGCTCAGTGCGCAGCGGGCTAAGGAGAGCCAGGTACCCTCCTGCCTTTGTTTGCAGGCGGTGTGGGCGGAAGAGCCCCTCCCCCGCCTGGAGGAGCGGGTGGGTGGCAGCATGGCTGGCCACAATGCCCACCAGCCTCTGTTACATTGCGCCACAGGCAGATGGCCTCAAGGGAGCAGCCCTTGGACCACTGCTGACAGCACCTTCGAAACTCGTTGGCCTCCCTCCACTAAGGAGGTGCCGCACCCATGCAGGAGGGAGGAACACTGGAAGGGGGTCTGGCTTCTCTGAGGGCCCCGAGCACCCAGGGGAGCAGGCACAGCTCAGGATCCCACAGGCTACTAAGAAATGCTTCCAGGGGCCCACAGAGCTAGAGACAAGGGTCTTACAGCCCCACAATGCTGGCCAGTGACCCTAACAGACCGGCCGCTGCGTGTGCATGTGCGTGTGCGTGTGCGTGTGTGCACATGTGCTGGGGTGGGTCCTTCAAGGCTAGCGGGGAGGATGGAGGAAAGCTGGCTGTCTTGGCTAACAGAGCCAACGCCCGGAGTTCTGGAGGGGTGACAAGCTCCACGCAGGAGGCAGGACAGGGTTCTGTCTCTAATTAGCCGTGTGGCCTGTGCGCCTCCTCCATAGAATACGGGGATCAGATACAGAACTGCAGGCTCCCTCCAGCTCCCAGAGTCACGACTCCAAGTCTGCACTCTGTCACCAGGAGTCCTCAAGCCTGCTCAGCCAGCACTTCTCTGCTGCAGGCTGGACAGGGAGCCGAAAGGTCATGATTGCTCACCCACTGGCCGGAGAAAGTCATGGCTCTATGCCCCCTTCACCCTGCACCGCGACCTCCCAGGACAAAGGCCTGCCCTGCCACACTCACCTCTGTACCCCTCACCCCTGGATGGACCAGCAGTGGTGTCACCCAAAGCAAATTGACACTATTTTTCCCTTGGTAACCGCAAAGGGGGAGAATCACCCGTCTCCTAATTTTAACCAGTACGTGAGGGACCAGGGCGCCATGACCGACCAGCTGAGCCGGCGGCAGATCCGTGAGTACCAGCTCTACAGCCGGACCAGCGGCAAGCACGTGCAGGTGACCGGGCGTCGCATCTCCGCCACCGCTGAAGACGGCAACAAGTTCGGTGAGGCCCAGCCCTCACCTGAGGCCACCCGTACCCCTGGCCGGCTTCCCCTGGTTCGTCCAGGGTCTTGTGTCAGGGCCTCCCCATGTTCCCCACCTGAGGTCGGAGGTCAGGTGGGTTGGGGGGGGGGGGCTTCCACCCCCTGAGCTTGCAACCCTCATAGACAGAAGTCTCTCCCTCATGACAGCCAAGCTCATAGTGGAGACGGACACCTTTGGGAGCCGGGTGCGCATCAAGGGGGCTGAGAGCGAGAAATACATCTGCATGAACAAGAGGGGCAAGCTCATCGGAAAGGTGAGGCCGGAGGAGAGAGCAGACCCTTGACTGGATCCTCCTGGGGTGGGGTGCCCCGGGCCAGCAGCATCCTCATTGCAGGGTGACGGGGGACATGACTCTCCTGCTCTCACCCACCACTGTCACTCTGTTCTCCCGTGTCAGTGAGTCCCGCTGGATTGACAAGCACTCTGAGAACACTGACTGGGCCACAGGGCCCTTGCTCAGATCCCTGGGACCATTTCCCAGCAGAATGAGTAAGAATTTCAGCACCTACATGATGTTATAGCCCCTGTGTTGCGGGTTAAGGGCTAACTGGGGTTGAAAGTGTGCATTCAGACAGGGTCAGAAGCTCCCCCAAGGTCAGTGGGCTCCACGGACCCAGCCAGCGAGATGCACACTGACCACCTGCTAGTGTAACCGTGCCCCTAGTGGGACCGCGTGCTAGTATAACCTACGCCGCGGTGGTGGGTCCAGCACTGTTGAGCAGAACTCCATTTCTTTAGCATTGGTCAATCCTGGCTTCCGGTTTTGGCTGTTCTCACCAAATATTTACTTATTTTTGTCAAGCCTCGGGCTATCATCTATAAAAATGGGCATAGCATCAGGGTTATCTGTAAAGTCTAAAGCAGTGGCTCTCAACCTTGGCTGTACATTAGAATCACCTGGGAATCTTTTAAAAATCCTGATGTCTGGGCCTCATCCTCCGGAAATTCTGTTTCTTTGTTACTAATGTTGTGGCCCCACCCCATAACAAAGAAACAGAATTTCCGGGGGATGAGGCCCAGAAATCGGGATTTTAAAAAGATTCCCAGGTGATTCTAATGTGCAGCCAAGGTTGAGAACCACTGGTCTAAGGGCTGCCTGTATGGCTCTAACACAGTTGCTGTCCATAAATGTTTGCCCCTTCTTTTCATCAGAGCATGGTGCCTCCTTCCCCTCCACCCAGCAACGCCATCCCCCCACCGAGGGCCGCTCTTGTGTACGAGTGCCCACTGGTTAAGCAGGAAACCACACAATCCCCTAGATTAGCGGTTCTCAACCTGTGGGTCGCGACCCCTTTGGGGGTCGAAGGACCCTTTCACAGGGGTCGCCTAAGACCCTCGGAAAACACATATATAATTACATATTGTTTTTGTGATTAACCACTATGCTTTAATTATGTTCAATTTGTAACAATGAAATTGGGGGTCACCACACCATGAGGAACTGTATTAAAGGGTCGCGGCATTAGGAAGGTTGGGAACCACTGCCCCAGATCTTTACGTCTCATCCTGGTAAACTGAAGCTCCGCTGGCTGAATGCCTGGCTCGAGGTGTACAGCTTCCAAACGACAAGCCTGCCTTTAAGTGCAGGTCTGACTCCAAGCACAGCCTGCCCCGCTCTCCCGGCGCGGCCTCCCCGGCCAGGGCACCACCTCACCAGGCAGAAACCCTGGGGCGCCCAGCCCCCCGCGGTCTTAAAAGAGGCCCGGGAGGCAGAGCAGCCGGGAAGGGTGGGTGGACAAACTTCCCCCCTCTCCTTCTTTCCCTGGCAGCCCAGCGGGAAAAGCAAAGACTGCGTGTTCACGGAGATTGTGCTGGAGAACAACTACACGGCCTTCCAGAACGCGCGGCACGAGGGCTGGTTCATGGCCTTCACGCGGCAGGGCCGGCCGCGCCAGGCCTCGCGCAGCCGCCAGAACCAGCGGGAGGCCCACTTCATCAAGCGCCTGTACGAGGGCCAGCTGCCCTTCCCCAACCAGGTCGAGAGGCAGAAGCAGTTCGAGTTCGTGGGCTCGGCCCCCACCCGCCGGACCAAGCGCACGCGGAGGCCTCAGCCCCGGACGTAGTCAGGGACGCCGGGGTGGCAGCTGTCCCTCCTCAGCCTTCCCGTCCCCTCCCCTTCCTGATCCAAAGATGGGGCTGGGGTGGAGGGAGGGAGGCCGGAGCCCCCAGGAGGTCCCGAGGACCAACAAGCATCAGCGCCCAGGCTGCCCAAGCTGGACGGGCCTCGGCCGCCTCCTGGCCCCCTCCAGGGCCGCTGGCATGGGCCCGGGGGTGTGGCGGGCCCCCGGAGAGACGCTGCAGTGTCCCCCACCCCCGCCCCGACGACACAGACTCACTGCGCCGAGGGGGCGGGCAGCAGGTTCAAGGCCTTGCAGACCGCGGGGAGGTGGCTCTTCTCAACTCCGCTCCCGGGTGTCAGTCTGCCCCCGCCTCCAAGCTCCTCCTGGCCAGCCCCTGGGAAGGGACTTTCGTTTTTGTTTCAGGAAAAAAAGAAAAAGGGAGAAAAAAGAGGGCTGACCGTTCTTCACATTCCCCTACCCAGGCCTGCACCCCTAGCCCCAGCTCCCAGCCCCAGAATAAAACCATTTTCCTGCAAACGGCTCATCTGAGGGGGCGAGGGGTGGACGGATCCAACCCCCAAACCGCACTGGTGACGGGCGGGCCGCTCGCGGAGGCGCGGGGACGCGCAGCGCCCAGGCCGGGCAGGTGCAGGGCGGCGCGGGGCGGGGCGGGGCGGGGCGTCCTGGGGCGCACGCAGGCCTGGGTGGCCCCGAGGCCCGCGGACCTCCGCCGCGGGGGGGCCCAGGGCACCCCTCCCGCCACGGGCTCTGGTTTCCTGGCTCTTCTGACGCGTCCCGTGCTACCTGTTGGGGCGCAGGGAACCCACACCCTGGGGCCGAGCCTGGGGCCGGGCGGGCGGCCAGCGGGGCAGCAGGCCCGCCCCGGCGCAGCAGCCGCCCGCCGAGCAGGATTGCTTTTTTCCGGTGAGGAGGGTCGGGTGGGGGAGGAGGGCGCGGGCGGGCGGGCGGGCGGAAGGGGGAGTGAGGACCAGAAAGTGTCCCCTCGCCGCCCAGGTCCGCGGCGGAGGGCGGGAGCACACCCAGGGGGCCCTCAGGGGCCGCCGGCCAGGGGGAGGGGAGAGGCGGCCCTCCCGACCCCGCGCCCCGGGGGGGCCTTCCCGACGCCCCAGGTGCGCCCTTCGGGATGGAGCTCAGAGGCCATAAAAGCCGCCTCTGGCCCCCTCCGCCCTGGCTTTTAGTCTTGTCCAGGGGGAGGCCCTCCCCTGCAGGTCTCTCCAAGCCCCAGTCCGCGCTGAGGGCAACACCCTCCCCAGTCCTTCTGCTGCGCAGGGACCCCGGCCTCAGTTTCCCTCTTTCCGAGAAGACATCGGGGAAGGGGGGTATGGAAAGAGAAGGAAAAGATGAAAGAAAGACACCGCTTCTCCGAAGGGCCTAAACATCGGGACAGTGGGGGAGTGGAGGGGCCTGGTTTAGCCCAACTGGGAGCAGAGGGGAGTGTGAGCGGATGCGGTGGGAGGGGTCACCCCCCTCTCCGTGCGGACTGGAGCCCCACACCCCCAACTCTGGGCAGTTGAGACCAGAGGGAGGTTCCCAGGCCCCAGGACATTCTCCCTCCAGTTTGTCATAATTGCTTTGTACCAGGTCGCTTTTTTTTTTTCTCTCCCCCACCTCCCCAGTCACAAAGAGCCTTAATCCCGGTGAAGACTGGGGGGGCGGGGGGCATTTTCAGGCCGGGGTGAGCGGGTGTGGGGAGGGGGTGAGGGGAGGGTGGTCTGGAGCCACAGCTGATAGCTGGCAAGATCAATGGGATTTTAACCTCGGGGGCAACGCCCAGCAATTACCTGAGGACAAAGGGTTGGCGCCCCCAGGTGTGGAGGACTGGACTTGGGGGGCCTGGGAAGGAAGTGTGTTGGGGAGGGGCAGGTCTTACAATCCCTCTGATTTCCGAAGGAATTTGAGACATTCTTTAAAACTCTAGACCGCCTCCCCCTGCCAGGCTCCCAGACCCACCCCCACCTTCCCTGGCTTGGGTTAGAGACGGCTTCAAAGGTGGACGGGCCCTTTGTCTGGCCTCTGCTTTCTTCTCTGCCTTTCTCGGCCCTCCCTCCCTCCCTCTCTGACCTCCCCAGCACAGACAGGCCTCTGGGGGCCCGCTCCAGAAAGCCCTCACTGTTTCCTTGCTTGCTTTTTGAGGTGAGACCTGGCCGAGAGGGACAAACTGGGGGACGGTGAGGGAGCACGGCAGCTTGGAGGCTTATGCCATCTCAGGGTGCCCGTGTCCCACCACAAGCCCAAGCCTGGCAGGTCTCAGGCCTGCGTGTGGCCTTGGGTCCCTGGCTCACCGCGCCATTTAGTGCCTCTGCAGAGACCGGCTCTTTCCCGGGTGCCTCTGCATACGGGGCGGCGGGCGTGGGGGGCGGGGGTGTCTGTTCAGCGCATTCCCTCTGAGCTGGCCATTTCCAAGATGCTCACAGGAAGAGGTGGGAAGAGTGGGTCTCTAATCAAGGGCCCTCAGAGGGGTGAGGGGTGTAAAGCATGAACGTGTGGTAGGAGGGAGGCTCCCCCTGGCCTCAGCCAGCCCGCTGCTGGCTCCAGCACCCTGCTTGCTTCTGTGTGCCCGAAGATTCTCAGCAAGTGTGGGGATGGGGGGAGGGGGGACTTAGGGCCAGAAGAACCTGTCCGTGTCAGGGAGGAGGTGACAGGCGGAGGGAGGTGGCAGCGGCGTGCCTCAGGCCCTGTGCCTGTTTGGGATTACCAAGACTCGAGCTAAGAATAGCTTCTATATTGATCTCTCCTCCCTGTCCTGTCCTCCAAAAGGCCAGATGAGGCAGAGGGGGGCCGAAGCAGGAAGTCAGAGGGGGAGTCCACGCTTGTTAGTGGTTGCAAACTGGCTTCTACTCATGTCATTCCGTTCGGCCCCGTCCCTGGGACCCCCATGGCGGCAGCTTCCCAGTCACCAAGCCAAAAAGCCTGCCTCGGACCCCGGTGTCCTCAGCCTCAAGGGCCCGCCGCCGCGAGGACCACCCTTTGTGACGCTCTTTCCTCGCTCAGCCTGCCAGCGCTGTCCTGCCTTCACCCTCTCCGCCTCCCCTGCTCCGACCTTCTCGTTCCTGCCTCCTCTTCATAGGGGCATCCTCTCCTGCTCTTCCTGCTGTCCCTCTGAGCCGTCTGGTCTCAACTCTCACCCCCTCGCCACGACTGCTTCCGACTGCTTCCTCTCGTCCAGCTCGGGAACACCATTGCCAGCCCTCACCAGGTGCCTCAACCGCTGCACCGCTTTTAAATGCTCTCTCTGCCTCCTGACGCACCACCCACCCCTGCTCCACAATGTGCGTTTCTTCAGCCTGCCTCACCCTACCACACACCCAGATCCTGTCACACGGTCGGTTGCTAGCAAGCACATGGCTTTCCAGGCTCCTGCTCAGTCCTGAGAAGGCCCTTCCCAGCCCCAGCCCTATAGCTCTCTTCAAGACACTGGAAAACTGCGGCCCTGGCCATTCAGCAAGCACGCGTGTCCATCTCTGTTCATGAGGTTCCCGCGGCCTAGCATGCCCTCCGGACCGTAGTCGCCTTGCCTGCCCCGTGGCTTCCCCGCTTTCCAGGGGAAGCAGCAGTGTCCACTGTGCTGGTCTCCTCGGCCGCACCGCCCTTGCCCTCTGGCACATATCACAGCTGGTCCAGACTGTACTGTTGATGCTTGTGCCATGGATCTGCTGGATAGCAAGTGCCGCAGATGTGGAAATAGCCTGTCTGTGCCCCCCTCCCCCGTCCTCAGCACAGTACATTATGCAGAATAAGGATTTATTGAGGCAATAAACCATCAGAAGGCCGAAAGGCATCCGTCATAGTGTAGTCCCTCACAGTGGAGCAGGATGAGAAGCCAGAATCCAGCCTTTACCCTCCATCCTTAGGTGTAGTTGGGTGGGGACGGGTCCTAAGCAGTTCATCCAAGGATTTATCCATTCCCTATACTGTACAGCACTGTGCTAGCCCCTCAGTTAATTAAAAAGATGGACAAGATTGCATCGTCCCCAGTCAAGCAGTTGGGGGGGGGGGTGGTAAACCCGTGAAGAGGCAGTTCTCCCCTGGGGCTTCTGGAACTCTCTCTCTCTTACAGCTAAGATAGCAAAGCAGCATCTGGCACCTCCCCAAAGAGTGAAGGAGGGGATGGGAGCTGTGGGGAGTGAGGACCTGATGTGCGCAGTGCTCTGGCGATGGCCAGGCAGCATGCAAGGCTGGCTCCCATGGAGCCCCTTCTTTAGGGGATAAGATTATTCCCGTGTCATGAGTGAGCGCGCGCAAAACACAGACATGTGAGATCAGCCACGGTCACAGCCAGTGAGCCCTACAATCTAGATCCTCCTGCCCTCAGCAGGAGTATGCTCAGTGGGAGGTTCTCCACTCCCCACCCACACACAATGGGTTCTTAGGGGGAGAGCGCATGGGGTGAGGCAGGTGGGAAGTGCTGGGGTTTGCCATGATCTTTCAGAACAAGCAGGATTTCAGCCAGCAGAGAAGGCACACAAGGGGAAAACTGAGTGAAAACAGCATGAGAAGAAGGCCTTGAGGCGGGAAAATATGAGGTGTGCTCAGGGGGAGGTGAGAGTGGATCTGAGTGTGCTCAGGGGAGGTGAGAGTGGATCTGAGTGTGCTCAGGGGAGGTGAGAGTGGATCTGAGTGTGCTCAGGGGGAGGTGAGAGTGGATCTGAGTGTGCTCAGGGGGAGGTGGGAGTGGATCTGAGTGTGCTCAGGGGGAGGTGAGAGTGGATCTGAGTGTGCTCAGGGGAAGGTGGGAGTGGATCTGAGTGTGCTCAGGGGAGGTGAGAGTGGATCTGAGTGTGCTCAGGGGAAGGTGGGAGTGGATCTGAGTGTGCTCAGGGGAGGTGAGAGTGGATCTGAGTGTGCTCAGGGGAAGGTGGGAGTGGATCTGAGTGTGCTCAGGGGAGGTGTGAGTGGATCTGAGTGTGCTCAAGGGGAGGTGGGAGTGGATCTGAGTGTGCTCAGAGGAGGTGAGAGTGGATCTGAGTGTGCTCAGGGGAAGGTGGGAGTGG